CATCAAAATGCGAAACACGATGACGAAACGATGAAAAGGCAACGCAAGTAGGGGTAAAATCCAGGGGCATCGAGAAGACCGTTATTTTCCTTAGAATGTCCAGGTATGGACACAATTTGAACTGATGGTGCAAACTTTTTTGCTTTTTAATTTCCCAATTGTACCTTTTTGCTCGTAAACTCCGTGCTTTAATGTTGTCATGGACGCATGTGCAAATTTGGTTCCAGATATTCATTTTCAACAACATCATGGCTGGAAACCTGAGTTGCTTGTAGGGGTCGATGCCCCATCGTTGGATTCCGCCTTGTTGGTGGCCCAAGAAGTACTGTTCCGTTTGGTGCTGTCTTCTTCCTCCATGGAGAAGACTAAATCACTTTGCTCCTCGTCGATCTTGCTCGTGCTGACAGGCGACGAGATTGTACGGTCCAGGCGGCCGTTGGAGCCTACCGCGGGGGAGTGACGGGTCGGAGCAGGGTGAAGAGACATGCTACTCAGCTGCTGAGAGATCATGGATGTCGATGACTGCCTGCCAGGACTAGCCACATATGGAGAGACATCGCCGGAGATCTGTCGGCTTCCGATGGGGCCCAAGCTGGGACTAGTACCTAGATTGAGGGAGGACTCACGAAGAGGCGAGCCGATATGCGAAAAGGATGTACCATGGGAGTCTTCATCCTTCTTCTGCTGGCGTTGCTTGGCAAATAAGGCACCAAACCGTGACGGACTGGATGCGAGCGGAGAGCCGACCTTGGAGAAGCTGGTGCTGGTCATACCGAGCCCACTCAAATCGCGGTGGCTGGAACTGAGATCATGATCGGTGCGCGATAGGCGTCGGAGTTTCTCCTGAGGGGTGAGGACATCATCGTGCAAATTGATCGGCAGATAATCCTCCTCCATGGGGAAGTTGCTGTCGTCCCAGTCATCCAATGCTGTGGGTCGGGGAACACTGGCCGAAAGCATGCGCGACTTCACTGGCCTAGCAGAGTGTAAAAATCTCGGTCCTACCCCATCTTCGGGAATGCCTGGAGGCGATGACCCCATGAACGACGAGGGTTTCCTGAAGTCGGACCCGTACGCTGTGTCACGGAGATTACGAAGTACATCTGACGGACCACCCATTCTCTGCGCTGGAGGAGACGCCAGATCCAACCCGAACTTCGACGGCACGGATGCGGCCACGGGGCCATAACGAGCGACGTGCGAAATGCCTTGACTGTCAAACGACGCGGGGAGCTGTGCGTCAAGAGCGGTTAGGTGACGGTGACTCGGGGACATGGGGAAACGCGTGTCGTCCGCTGGCGACCCATACTTCGAGCCCGCATCCGACGCTAAACCTGCATCGATGGTAGGGATGGCGTCGAACGGCGGTGGGGGTGGCTGCTGCTGCTGTTGTAGAGCACCGAACTCCTCTTGAGGCGGCAATTGCGAAGCGTAACGAGGATCATGATTACCCAAGCGCTGTTGGGAGAGGACCGAGTTCGTCAAGGCCGAATCTTGATTGACATATGCTTGAGGGTTGACGCGTCCTCCAAGATTGAGATGGCCTCCACCCATTCCCATACCGGGACTTGGACGATTCACCCGCCGACCATCAGGAAGGATATGCGCCAGCGCGCACTTAGCTCCGAACTTGCAATTGCCCTAATTGTGCGGAGAATAAACCAGTCAACTGCATGCTCTCGAAATCGAGGATGAGGAAGGAAGGAAATTGCTTGTATCCGCCGCTATGGGAGGGGAAGTAGGAACAAGATGGATCCGGTTACAGGTCGTACCTTGGTGAAATATTTGCAAGGCGCATAGTCAATCGCGGCGTCTGTGGAGTGTAGGAAAGGACAAGCAGGTCCGGCCTGGCAAGCTCCCTGGCGAAAGAATTTGCAGGGTACATGCTTGGTATCTAGAGAAGATAGCGACTGAAATTAGTTTATCTCTTTCTTTCACCCAGAAGAGAAGTGAGGGGCGAAGCAAAAACGGTCATGGAGAGCAACAATCCTGCAGTAACCGAAGGGCGATCGGAGAAAGGGAACAGTATGTGATTGAGGGACGGAAAAAAAAAAAAAAAAAAAAAAAAAAAAGAGAGTCCTGGGCTTGACTTACTGCTCTGGTTGGGAGGACTGCGAGCAGCCATGTCGAAGCCGGAGGAGGGATTGCGCGAATGGCCGTTCTGCGCAGAGGGGCTTCGGAGGGGACAGGAAGAGGAGTACGATTTTTCATCTCACAGAGGAGAGATGGCGGATTTCGAGGACGAGAGCACTGGAAGAAAGGACTCTAAAATATGTTAATCAATCTGTAAACTTTTATGAGAATAAGAAAGAGAGTGTGAGTGAGTGAGTGAGTGAGGACACTCCCTTTGGCTGCGATGAGGCAGAACAGAAGGGAAGTCAAGACCGTTGGAAAATCCGGAGGGGTTGATTTAGTCAGTAGTAGTTTTAGTTATCATATAGATACTGGGCACGGGGAGATTTCCACAGGTGGGGAATCATAAATGGTACTTACATACTCTGTCGGTACTGGGTGGTATTCAAGATCATTATATGATTATATTATTATATTGTTGTTGGCAATGAGATAGGTCGATTCGAGGATATTCCAACATTAATATGTGTATGGTATTCATGGTATTTGATGATGCTAATCAGATAGCTGATCCTCTTCATTCCTCATAACGGTTGGTTAACCCACCTCATGACTGTCTACCATATAAAGAAGAAGGAGAGGGATTTGCACGGCACATGATATCGAATGATGGTAGCTATGATCATATGTACTAATATCTAGCTTGTACCAGCAACGAATGATCATCATCAAAGGCGTCATATTACCTTCCGAGGGTCTTTCTCCTGACCGAGTCTCGTGCGACATTACATAAGTATTGGGTTGAATATAATCTCATCCTTTCCCTCTCCGGTGACTTGATACATCCCGACTCCCATATCATCTGATACTTTTCATAAGCCTCGATTTCCCTTCCTCATACTCGACTCTCAATAAAAACAGGATCTGTCCTCTGACCGCATGTCAATCCACTCATCGTAACGGTCCTGCCGTACGCCGCAGGATTCTACATAGGTACTATGCATAACAAGCCGCCGAACGGACTGTAAGATCCAGTGTGCAGGAGACAATACTTCAAATGACAATTGGAGCAGTCCTTGCACGACGAGACTATGCATCCGCGTGGCTCACGGTACCTCACCTTTTCTACCTCCCTCTGATCAGATAAAACGTAGCATTTCAACGAAGAAAGGATCCTTCAAGGCCCAGAGATTCCTGATGGACAAAGTCAGCCGAAACTGCCGCAGATCGACGCCGTACTGCAGCATCAAGAGTTGGTGTACTTACCCAAAGCTCTTCTCGACTCACATTGTCCGGTACAACCTCCAAGCATCTACTCCATAGATCCCGACAGATCGTCTTACGGACACTAGCGATCCTATTCCAGCGTCTCCATTCCTTCCCCAACTTTGCTCTCTCCTCCGGAGACACCTGGATGGAATCACTTTTTTGAATCTTCTTGAGACGAGATGAAACTGCCTGCGTTTCTTGCTCAAATTGGCCGACATCTTGTCGTAGCTCACAGAGCAATGGCTTCGTGGAGAGCGTCGCTAAATCTGTTCGCGCTTTCTTTTCCTCGGTTTTGAGTCTTGCTAACTGTTCTTCCAGCTGCTTGATCTTCTCATCCATCATCGCCATGATCTCCACTGTGAGTTCGTCGGTTGCGTCTTGAACGGCATGATAAACCGTGTGTTTTCCTAAAACTCAGGTAGGGCTTAGTTAGTCTCCAAGGCGCTCCGCTTGCAAGATTGTACTGAGCACCTGAGACCCGGGCCTCGATCTCCTTCTTCCGGTGTAGTTCTCGCAAGACCTTCGCGGCGTGCGCTATAGGTCCGACATCAGTCAGAGTCTTCCAGACCACTCGCCTGAAGTAAAATAACTGTACTGACTTTTTGAGACCTTGTTGTGCAAATTCGCGGAAACATCGATGGCCTGAGGTGCTAGGACATTAGGGTCACCACCACCAGGTGCGCATCATCAAGAGGACGAACCGAATAAGGACGACTGGTTGTGAACGTTTAGACAGCATTTCAAGATACTAAGTTGCTAGCATAGAATACTTAGACCTACTTTTGCTTCCCTAGAACACCAGTTAGCAGCCAGCGTCGACGGTGCAAGTGAGAGAAGAGTCTTGCGAATCAACATGACACTCACGAAGGTAATCCAGGATCAATGATGTTTCGTCATTAGCAGCTAGGTATGCAGAGTAAGCGGGAGGCATACAGAGGTCCTGAAGTTCTTGCTGGCTTACCTCCAACCGACATGTCGGCCGCTTTCGCCTTCTTCTGTGTCATGGCGACAGAGGTGAAGTGGTCAATCTTACCGGAGAAGGTCAAGACTATGGAAGAGAAGAGCGAGGGGAACCGGGACGTTGTTGTTCTGACTGAAATTCATCACTGTACAGGGTATAAACCAGCAATCACACAAGGGACATCATCGTCACGTGGAAAATGCTCTCCATCAACTCTTAGATATACATACAAGTCTTGTTCCAGAGTTACAGAACAAGTATTGGCCTTGGGAAATAAAGCAGCAGCAACCGGGAAAAGTATAAATCCCAGATAAATGAGGAAGACAAGAACGCTGAACCATGACAAAATCTTCCAGTTTATTCGAATGGAATGGATGGCTGCCACACATACAAAACACGGGAAGATAGGGTAAATCATTCCGAAAACCTCCCAAATGGGGAAAATGCTTTTTTCAAAGACATCAAGAAAAGGACCGACTCCAAGTCCAAAGAGACGTTGAGACAAACAATCGGTGAAGGCCATTCACTACATCAGGGCCTCTCCTACGCCGCCTTTACTTGCTCCGGTTGGGACAATGGCTGTATCAAATGGTATTCTCCCGTGAAGACATAAGGTAGAGATTCGGCAAGGGTATCACATGATGATCTAAGGCAGAGGTTAGCTTCACAGATCTGGTGCAAACGATCCGGAAGAGAATCAAGAACTTACGCAATCACTGTCCTTTTGGGCAGTAGGGACTCCCATTTCTTCGAATGTCTTTGGACCCTTGCCGGGGAGACCCCCTGCGGAGGGTTTGGAAGGTTGTGTTGTGGGCTTTTGGCTTGCTGCGCTTGCGGGGTTCCGGAGGGTTTGGGAGTCGACGTTCTTGACGACTGAGGGAATGACGCAGCAGAAGGTGAGACTTGCGGCCGTGGCGATCCCATCGAGCTAGCCTGGGAGTGAGGGGAGACAGCAGTTCGCGCAGGCTTCCGGTCCGGGGTGCACCATCGAGCCGCTGAGGGCGTCTCCGAGCATCAGCGTTGGGAGGCTGATCAAGTGGCGCTGAGTAACCGATATCGAGTTTGGGTGTTCCCGATGGGCTATGCACACCTGTCGGACTCATCGGTCCAACCGATGGCGGCGCTCCCGGCCCCGGGTTACGGTAATTCTGAGGACCTGGGCCGTAAGACGCGGCCCGGTTGTAGTTGGGCGCATTCGCACGGATATTGGGGTTGATCCCAAAAGCCGAGCTGGGGCGCGGGTCGGCCATTGAGTAGCCCTGTGGATAAACGGGCCGGGAACGGGACCCTGGTCTGTCGGGGTAAGGCGCGGCGGAGTGTCCAGTGTCCGAGAGACTCATCCTGGATGGATCGGGCATTTCGAGGTTCTCTTGCGTTGATTCTAGAGAACTCTCACGCTGGTGCGACCCGTAGCGCGACTTGATGCGGGCGATCGCGACATTCTCGTGATCCTTCCTCGACAGTGTCTTTGACCGCGAGATGCTGTCGATCCGACTTGTAGCGTCTTTATTCCCATTCGCGGCAGCCTTGGCATACCAGCTCCTGGCTTCCTTGAGGTCGACATCGACGTATATACCAACCTCGTAGAAATATCCTAGCGCAAATTCAGCTGTCGGGAATCCACTGAGCGCAGCACGATGAGCAAATTTGAAGGCCAACTCGTCGTTCTTCTCGAAAACGCCCTCATGGCCGCAGAGAAACCATTTGCTAATCGCCATCTCCGCTTCCGGCTCCCCTTGACGCGCAGCCAGCGCGTTGTAATGTAAGGATAGTGCAGGGTTGAAGTCGCAGCCGAGTTGACCCAGTTCATAGGCGGCGCCCATCTTAACCTGAGCTTTGGCAAATCCGTGATAGGCTGCCTTTTCAATGTTGACACGAGCAGCGTTAAGATCCAGGGGAAGGTAGCTTTCTGGTACATTGACCTGCGGGAGTTCCCGTGCCAAGAGCATACCATAAACCTGTCGAATGTCATGTCAGACCCAAAGCGCTGAGAGCGTGAATGAGAAGAACGTCACGTACGTAGGCACCCTGGGGCGCATTCTCGTCGCAAGATTGTGCAGCAAGGCTGATATAATCCAAGCCCATCTGGTAATCCTGCCGCTGACCATGCTGGCCGAGGAGGATCATCATGCCCAAACGCTGCCGGCCGTGACATTAGCAAGGAGCTCATTTTTGACGGAAAAGTTGCCGTGAACATACATAGTAAGAAGCGGAGTCAGCAAGGGCGACTCCCTTTTCGTAGTGTTTGATAGCCTTCTCCGGTTCTCCAGAACTTTCAAACTGCATTCCGATACGATACTCCGCCCGAGCATATCCTCTGTCCGCAGCTCTTGTATAGGCGCGAAAAGCTGCCTTCTTGTCCACGCGATGTCCGAATTTCCCGAACTCTAGCCACATGCCTCTGATGAAATCGGCCTTGGGGTGGTATTGATCCGCCAAGAAGTTCACAATGTTCATCGCATCGAGCTTCAACTGACGCTCCACAGGAGGAGTCTGCGGCCTGGGAGGCTGAATCAAGGAGAGACGAGCCTCGTTTTGCACCGCGACCTCAACGTAGGCGAGAGCGTCCTGAGCCCAGGCCAACTGCATCTCCGGGTCGTTGGACGACAGAACAGCGATTCGAGCTCTCTCCAAACTGGCTTCTCTTTGCTCGTCGGTAGGGGGTACATTTGGCGGGGGGTTTCTCAGGACAGGGAAAGGAGAAACGGTAGAAGATCCCATGTCGTAGACCGCGGAGTGCTCATGATGGACGACATCGTAACCCGCGCCAAGTGGCGGCTGTCCCTGCGCGACCGCGACGGATGAAGACCGCTCAGGGAAACGTGAGCGATCATGCTGGACTGGAGCATATTGGCCGTGGTGGGGGATCCGCGCTTCGTGCTCGAGGTGGGCTATATTGTCCTGCATGTTTTCTGGAACTTCCGGCATTACCCTGTTGAAATCGAGTGCATCGGGTCAGCAACGCGTACCATCAGTGTTGTTAGACGCTACCAATCGGGTGGGGGAAGTCCCCTGAAATATGCAATTTGCAATCCCACCTTTGAGGAGAGGGGGATATGACTTCTGGCATGTAAAAGTCATCCTGGCCCCCTGGATACCATGTAGCGCCGAGACGTGGCTGACCACGGCCTTGCGGAGGTCTATTCATCGTCCAGATAATAGCCCCTTCTCCTTTGTTTTCCTTTTCTTCAATCTTTTCCAGACGTTGCCGAAAACAGTACGGATCAGATGTGACACGGAAACACGATTCTTTTGGCGCTCCTTAATTTTTCCTTCCCTTTCAATCAAAGGCTCATGGATTAAAAATAGAACACAAGAGGAAATAAGATCGAAGGGAGATCAGTCTGACTACACGGGACGCGCAGGGTAAAGTGTAGAGATCAAGCGCATCATCCGAAAAGCCGCGAAACGAAAACTCATACCATAAGACCACGACAGGCCTTCTAATAAGGAGTGGCGGAGAATAACTAAAAAAAGAGAAACGATAGGACCATAGTAAGGATGATATTGAGCGCAAAAGAAGAAGTATCCCTGGGATGAAACTGGAGTAAACTGTAGATGGACCCCAAAGGCCAGTAATGAGAAGCGGGGTGGGAGTTGGATGCGGAATTTGACTAAGGTAAGGTCGCTGCCTATGAAAGTAAATACCGTACCAAGCCACTATTAGATGCTAACGTAGGTACTGCGATTAGGCTGCTACAAATACTCCACAGTAGATAGTTACTCCTGTATACAACTACCAAGGCGGACAGTTGTTGAAAGGAAGGTAGGGGCTGCAGTCAAAGAGAGACCTCAAAAGGTGATAAAGAGAGAGATGTGTCTTACAGGATCCTTTGATGACAGCCATGACAGTGCGGAGTACCAAACAATTCTATCATCATCCATATGTCTAAGGATACAGATAAGTACCATGGTGGTTGTCAAAGAGAAGGAGATTTCTCATCTTTGATTTGAGTACCTTCCAACATTCTTTCTTTGAAGGCATGTCTAATTCAATTGAGGTAAGGCATTCAGATACAATCACCTTAAAGGTCAGATTTCGAATCAGACTGAATGAATGAGCTCTGGGGAGACATTGAATAACGCATAGTGCCAAGAGTCATCTTTGTTACTATTAAAGTAGATAGGGGAGTATTTATTAGACAAGATTAAAGGCTGAGAGTATCCACTGTTATTTTAGAAGCAGTGGCTTTGAACCTGGATAAGGTGATGCCTATGTACTGCATAGGTATAACCTGACTCAGGAAACTTACAAGTTATGGATTCTCATTTTACTCCCTGGATTGCAGCAAATGATAGCAGGCATATTCAAACGGTTCAAAGTAAATGTCTCTGATCTACTTTGATTGGGCTTCCATATACCGGAGCTACCGTCTATCGGCAATTAAAGGTGTCCTCTATCTATTTGGCTGCAGTAGCAGCAGGAGAACAAATTTTATTTTGAACTGCTTCAGTTCGGTTCATCTTTTCAGCTAGTAATAGACGCCCGTTCATTTATAATGTCAGATTTCCTACAGCAGCTTCCAGAGTTAATTACCACTATTACTACATCTTTGTTCCTATAAACTATCCATGGTGGTCATCACACTGCTCACAGAAAGTTGCTTGCCCAAATAAGGTAAGAAGACAGATAGACCGACCTTGAACCTGATTGGTCAATGGATTTATTTCGAATCCTTCTCAGTCTATCACTAAGGTTCTACTATGCCAGCCAAAGTACCTTATTGTTTTGTATCCAAGGAACGTTGTAGTTACCAACAACCTACCTTACGTTAGGTGGTTATCTTATTGCTTCTTCGCGGCAGCGCCGCGTCCCCGTCAAATATCCGCTGAAGCTGAGGTCCTTCATCGAAACATGTGGTGCAGAGCCTGACGGCGTCAATGCCCTCATAAATTAGTATACTAAAGTCAACCTGGTGAAGCGAGTAACTGGAGGTACCTTGAGCATCATGGGGTCTCAACCACAAAACTTCAACCATCCTTACTCCCCATATGACATACAACTCCAGTTCATGCGCGCTCTCCACACTTGCCTGGAAGAAGGAAAAGTCGCAGTGTTCGAGTCTCCGACCGGTAAGTTGAGCTTCACCTGTCACTTGATCACCCCAACTAATCACATGGTACAGGCACGGTAAGTAAAGATCACTATCAGACCAAGAGCGGAGACTGAGTTCTTGCTTGCTATTCTGTAGAACGCCTGGCCACTAACACAACTCTACCATAGGGAAAATCTCTGAGCTTGATATGCGGCTCTATAACCTGGCTAAGAGAACACAAGCGCAAGGCACTTCAAGATACCGTCAATAAAGCCTCTTGTCAGTACCGGAGGGTGTGAGCACCAAGGGTTTGCCGCTGATGAAGTTCTGCAGGCGATGATGACGGCGAGCCCGAATGGATGTTAGAGTTTGCCAAGCGCGAGTCAGCTCGGGCAGTAACAGAGAAAAGAAGGGCGCTGGAGGCTCGCTTAGAAAAGATCAGAGTCGAAGAGGAGAAGCAGAGACATGCTACCGATCACCCAGGAGAACCTCGGAAGAGGCAGGTATGTCTATCGAGATCTGCATCACAACCTGCTCTGCACTGACCACGCTTCAGAGATTGGATACATCGTCTGGTGACCCAGGTCCAGAGCAAAATGACCAATTTATTCTGGACGATTATGATAGCGACGCTGAAGAAAGGATGACATCTTCCAAGAAAGTCGGTGATAGCAGTGGACTCTCAACTAGTACACTTGAACTACTGAACCGCTTCAAGGAGCAGTTCTCGGCTCCCGCTGAGGATGACGCCGGAAATGGAGACGATGATGTTAAGATCTTCTATTGCTCGAGAACTCATTCCCAACTGTCCCAATTCTCGAGCGAGTTGCGGCGCGTCAAAATGCCGTCCAGCATGCCAGCGGAGCTCAGCACGAGCGATGCACACACTGATGAGGTCGAAGAACGCGTGAAACATCTTACTCTTGGTTCGCGAAAGAATTTATGCATAAATCCCAAGGTGATGTCCTTAGGAAGTGCCACTGCAATCAATGAGCGCTGCTTGGAACTGCAGCAGCCTGGCGTAGCTGCCGAGAAAAGATGTCCTTACTTGCCGTCAAAGGAGGATGAAGGGCAGGTTCTACAGTTTCGTGATCACACTTTGGCGACCATTAAGGACATCGAGGACATGGGAAAGCTTGGTAAGCGGATGGGAATCTGTCCTTACTACGCATCCCGCTCAGTACTCAAACACAGCGAGGTATGTTTTGAATCTGCCTTCTAATCATCATTGAATGTCCTGCTGAATGCGCAAAAGATTGTGACCCTTCCTTATCCCTTACTACTCCAGCGTTCAGCTCGAGATGCCCTCGATCTCTCGATCAAGAATCACGTCGTCATTATTGATGAGGCCCACAATCTCATGGATGCAATATGCAATATACATTCAGTAACAATTAGGCTATCGCAGTTACAGACTGCACTTTTTCAACTAACAACATATGCACGCAAGTACAAGGCGCGCTTGAAAGGGAAGAACCGAAGCTATATCGCTCAAATCATCAGACTCATCAGTTCGATTGCAGACCATCTTCGCTCAATCATAGGAAAAAATCTGCCTGCAGAAGGCGCCGTGGATCCGTCAGATTTGATGGCTGGTAAAGGCGTCGATCAAATCAACCCTTACAAGCTATCTCGGTATCTACAGGAAAGCAAACTGGCCAGAAAGGTCGACGGCTATGTTGAATTTTCGAAAGAGAAGAATCAACAGTCGGACGACAAACCTTCGTCACCTGTCCTTTTCCTTGTTCAGAGCTTTCTTTTACCACTGATGAATCCATCCGCCGAAGGCCGATTTTTCTATCTAAAGTGCCACGATGATATCCAGCTGAAGTATATGCTACTAGACCCGACGAACCATTTCCGGGAGATTGTCGAAGATGCCCGGGCAGTGATCTTGGCTGGCGGAACCATGTCTCCTGTATGTATAACAAGAACCTTCCTGTGATGTTCTCATCTGCTTAAAGTGGCTGACCGATACCATAGATGAGTGATTATCGAAATCACCTGTTTTCCTACATTGCCCCAAGCCGGCTAGATACTTTCAGTTATGGCCACGTTATTCCCCCAGAGAACCTCATTGCACACACGCTTGTCAACGGCGTTCTAGGTTCCGAATTTGATTTTACTTACGACTCTCGCGATTCTGAAAAGATGGTAAGAGACGACTTTTCAGCCGTGGCTACATGGACTTTAGAACTTTCTAACAGTTTGCTGTGCTCCTTTTTTTAGATTCTTGATCTCGGACGGACTGTGGCTACGTTGTGCCAGGCTATCCCAGATGGCGTCGTCGCCTTCTTTCCCAGCTACGATTATCTCAGCCGAATATTGGCCATATGGAGGAAGCCTCTTGTGGGCGAGAAGGGGCAGACTATTCTCAGCCTTATTGAACGAGAAAAGTCTATTCTATACGAAGGTCGGGACATGGGCGCGAAAACGGAAGATTTGCTACAAGAATATACAAGAACTATTGACTCTGGCCAAGGAGCTCTGCTGCTCTCCGTCGTGGGAGGGAAACTGTCCGAGGGCATAAACTTCTCCGATAAACTGGGAAGAGGCGTGTTGATCATCGGTTTGCCTTTTCCAAACATACGCAGTGCAGTTTGGCAAGCCAAGATCCAACATGTCGAGCAGAAAACTTATAACTCGAGCTCTGGGTCTGAGAAGGACAGGCAGTCAATTGCAAAAGCAGCAGGGAAGGATTTCTACGAGAACGCGTGTATGCGAGCGGTCAATCAATGCATTGGGCGAGCTATCAGGCACCGCAATGATTATGCTGCTATTGTGATGATCGACAGGCGATATGAGAAAGCGAATATACAGGGAAAATTACCAGCCTGGATTAAGCAGAGCATGCTGCGCCGCTCTGTACGACGGCCAGCTTCAGCACTCGCAGAGGATCTGTCCAACTTTTTCTCTGGTCGGAGCTCGAGGTAATTGAGACATTTTTTTTCTTTTGCAATTAAAACTACAGACTGACCGGCGTGGCATCATCTGCCTACGTATCTTGCCATAAAACTTCATCAAGCATAAATCCGTAGTGGTATCTGTATCCGTTGCCAAAGAAAGTGGTGGTTCTGTACATTGTATCTTGTATCTCCGGCCACGTGATCTGGACGGGGAGCTGACTGCCAAGAGTTGCAAGGGCTGGACCCTACTTAGGGCAAGCGAACAGCCTAGCGCACACTCTAGCCGGCTCCGAGCCTTGAATTAAACATCTGAACCAGCAGCATATACGACCGCATCCCCCATCGCCAAACCTCAGACCGGTCTTGTCGAGCACAGCACCGTCGACAAGATGCCTACCCGTTTTTCGAAGACAAGAAAAGCGTGAGTCGAGAATTTCACCCCGTTATACACCTCGAATTGTCGAACGTCCCTTTGCTGTCGTTGTATTTGCGACGAGTCGATGCATCCATTCACGATCGTGGAACAATCATTCGGAATATTATGTATATCGAGAGACTAACTTGGATTCTTCTTCTACTCCAGTCGCGGTCATGTGTCGGCCGGTTACGGTCGCGTTGGCAAGCACCGTAAGCACCCAGGTGGTCGTGGTATGGCCGGTGGTCAGCACCACCACCGTACCAACCTTGACAAGTTCCACCCTGGTTACTTCGGTAAGGTTGGTATGAGATACTTCCACAAGACCAACCAGCAGTTCTGGAAGCCCACCATCAACCTCGACAAGGTACGTTGAATGAATGCGTTTAGAGTCACACCTGGTCCGACCCGACGGGACGCGCCGCGAGCTGAAGGAAGTTGCATTGGGGAAGGTGGAGGAGTAGCGGAGATATGATAGGGTTGGAGAAGAGATATGTTGTGGACAAAGTGACTGATTGGGACGTTTTCTTTTTTACAGCTGTGGTCCCTCGTCCCTACCGAGACTCGTGATGCCTACCTGAGCGGCCAGAAGACCGACACCGCCCCCGTCATCGACCTCCTCTCCCTGGGCTACTCCAAGGTTCTGGGCAAGGGCCGTATCCCCGAGATCCCCATCGTTGTCCGCGCCAGATACTTCAGCCGGGACGCTGAGCAGAAGATCAAGGAGGCCGGTGGTGTTGTTGAGTTGGTTGCTTAAATGCGGAGTCATGATTGCGAAACGAGCAGGGTGCAGAAACTGGGTTAGGTGCCGTACTGCGGTCGGGCTTGTGATAGAGGGTTCAAATTCTGTTCTCTGAGGTAACAGAGAATAAGAACTCGAAAAATGGGAGCCACGAATCGGGCACATTTGATTCGTGTATTTACAAAATAATGGGTTTTTGTTTGCGATGAGCAGCATAGCCTGGCCTTAAGATGCCCTTACGATCTCACCCTATCAAACAAAATACCATCTGGAAGGATTTCACGCTGTTCAACCTTTTACTTGCGCCACTCCGTCTGGTGCGTGCTCTGTCAAAAGCACTATGGTCAACGTTCTGACAAGACAATGTCGGATTTATATCTTTCCTCAATCAATCAGCTCCTCGACAAGGTTTGCCTCGAAAGCAGGACTGCGTAGCGCACCTCGTAGTCTACCATCTTGTTCGCTTGTCTTTCCCTTACAGTATAATTTTGAGTCGATTTGGGGAATGTAGGAATAATCATATTTGATTGCTCTAATGGTTTATATTTTGGATTCGCGGACGTACGAACTCTTTTGGGCCTCATCACTGGAGGCAAGCGTCTCACTTATGAACCGGACAGCTTCGTCCACCATTTTCGGGGTGACCTCGTGGCCAGCTTTCTCATCAATGATGTCTTCGAATGTAACAGCACCATCTGCAAACCAACCATCTGGAGCAATAGCCTTCTTCAACCAAGTCAGGAAAACTTCCCCACGGTGGTAGGGAACCAGTTTATCCGCGCCCCCGGATAGGTTGAGAATCTTCTTGCCAGCCAGACAGCGCCTAAGCACCGGCAGCAGAGCTTGTTTTTCATTTTCAGTCGGCTCAGGCAGAGGATGGTTTCGAAGGGGCCCAGCGTCCGAATTAGGATTGACATATCTCAGAAAAATGCTCGCTGGGTCAAGTTTAGAGATAGTCTCCAGGAGAGAGGAGGGAAATGCTTCAGAGCCTAGAATCCGAGACCCCGGGGGTCGCTGTTTGTCCAGGATGGCAGCTTCGACAATCGCGCACGATCTACCATAAGATTTACATAGTCGGGACAGCCGATGATGACCACGCCGGCGCTCACACGGGGTTCATGAAGGAGACAGCTCCACGCTGCATGGCCCCCTAGGGATACTCCCAGCACCATATGTTTGGAGATCGTGCGTTCGCCTTGGGGAAACACGTAGGCCGGGAGATAGTCCATCAGTAATGACACGTCGCGCGCGGTTCCCTCTATTGTACGAGACGCATTAGTTCCCAGGACATAAATCGCTAGTACTGCAAATAGTCCCGGTGGTAGGAACTTCTAGAATTTGCTGATCGGGGACTCACGGAAAATGGAAAACATATCCTGCGCATGTCGAGGGTTTCCTTCTCTCCACGCCTCATTGGCGAGGGGATCGACCAATCTTGTGCCATGGTTTCTTTGATCGAATGAGACAGCAATCAGACCCTTAATCGGACCGGCACGACCATCTTTAATCCTGTGATTCCAATCCGCAATAACGGCCGTTGCGAAACCCGTCATTCGCTCCTGGGTCGCCAACCTTGGGTGCAGGAGCCAGAGACAAGCAATCTCGGAAGCGTGAGACGGGATTTCATCGAGGCCGAAGACCGTGGTGAGAATTCCAGCAATTGGGTATTTCTTCTGAGAAACGGAAGGTGAATTGGACGATTTCGAGGGAGATGCGGTATCGAAGGTCTTCAAGGGATCCGTCATTTTGCTTGCTATGTATGCGAAATATCTGTTGGTAAACGCACTGACGAAAATTGGGAATATGTACAAAAAGACAATTATCTGCGTGCTGTCAAATCTACATCGGATCAGAGACACTTATACATCCCACCTTTGACTCCGCATTCAAAGCCGAGGATATACAGAGCGCCTACCTTAGGTAATCGTGCCCATAGAACACTAAGGTACCTAGGTACTGTATCTTGTTTACAAGACAAGCGTAACTTTACCATAAGGTACATAAAAATAAGACGAAGTGCACAGCCACAAATCTCAGTCGATCGATGCCTCAGGCTTGGAACGAAACATGGGCCTCAGGTACCATATTGCCTTCCTCCGTGCCGTACGGAGTAGTATTAATAGGTGATCATCAAGGCGCTATTCAAGAAGTTAACTGCTAAATCTGCGAGTATTTTCAGAATCAGAAGTATTTCCTTTTCCAGACGCCATACCTTACATTATCTTATCCAAGGATCGACTGCCCCCTTGCACCCAAACTTCGAGCTGCTGCCTTCCCCCTATCTACGCTAAATCCCGAGTCCTCATTGAACAATCACGCCAAAGCGGGCCTTCCGCCGATGTTCTATGGGGGGGGCTCCACCAGCGGTTGTTGGAATAGCTACTCGAAACGCTAATGCAAGTTGCAACACTCCCCTTTAAGTACGTTAACAGTTTCAGGTTTGAATTTGCTGAAATAAACTCATTCCCTCGTTCTTCTAGCCCCAAACACTTTCCAAAACTTAACAGAATGACTGTATGGTGAACTATTTTGGTCGGTTTTGCTAGGATCTATTGATCCGCACGTAAGTTCGATCTTGTGTTTACAAGTGAATTTGTGTCCACGCTGATACTAGTCGTTCCTTGTAGGTATAATGACCGACTCGGCGATTGCTACCTCAGCGTTGAGGGACTCGGAAAACATTTCGAATCGTCCCGATCCCAAAGGACCAGATCCTCTCACAGTGGCAAGCGGTGTCAAGCTCGGTTCACCCTTTCTCTCCCAGGCGGAAAACAGGCACTCGGCCTCTGAATTTAGGGACGGCAAAGCTGATTCTACGGATGAGCGAGATGTTGCAGATGATACGCAATCGATAAAGGAGAATGTTAATAAGGCCAACGAAGGAGGTGGAAAACCTCGATCAGACAAGGCCGGTGGGTTGGAGGAGGTGTGGAATAATGGCCAGGGGGAGCAACCTTTTTTGCCAAGTCTTCGGCGGCCAAAGGAATCGCTTGACAGTCCTCGACAGTCGCCGGGCCATAAAGAGCATCAGTCCACAACTCCCGGGGCGGCGGTTTCGCCGCGTCGTCCCAGCGTCCAGTTCACCCACGAGACCTCTGACATCGATCCCGCCCCGGAAGTATCTGGGTCAAGGCCCCCGTCTGTCCTGGATGATGAGCCAGACTCCGGACTGAAGGGGAAACAATCGATCTTTACCAAGCTCAAGTCTTTCGCTTCGCCCTCATTTACCTCTCATTCTCGTTCGGCTAGTGGGGCAACCATTGGTGATATGAGACAGACCAACGCCGATCTGGCAACACCGGGTTCTGAGCGAGGGGCATTTCGTTTCCCCGATACATTGGCAGAGGAAGGGAGTGATATCGATGCTGATGCCGAGGAAAGCGCCGGGGAGCAAGAGGTCCGTCAGCGCAGAAAGAAGAAGAAGATTTCACGACGGCAGCAAGAGCCTCAGTCAGCACCTCAGACTGAACCAAACACACCGAAAACGGCCAGGAGACCGTCATTCCACCTCCCAGCTTCGTTTGGTCCATTTGAGAACTACCGCGCCAACCTCTTTGCGCGCAGAGTGAGCACCGGGGACTTCGCCCAGCAGCGGGAGGGTGTATCGGAGGACGAGGGGCGAGATCGCCTGAATAGAGATGCTTGGAGACGGAGAATAGCCAATGCTCGTGCGCTTACGTATGGCAGTCGACAAGCGGATACCCACGGTAATCAGGAGGAGAGACGACCGAGCAATTTCAAGCGTTTTACTGGGCTGGTTGGACCATCTGAGCACACAGAAGGAAACGCCCCTCATTGGAGGCGCCATAGAGCTGAACGCGGCTCGAGTCTGAGCGCTCAGAAGTGGCGGCAGATAAAAGCTGGGTTCAAATTTATGCGTCGCAAGCCTGAGAGCACAGTAGACCATGCAAAGTCCGCCGAGCTACTAGCCGAGTTGACTTCAGGGGTGCCAGCCGCCTTGATTCTGGCTAGCATGTTTCAACGGGATGAACACGGCAGCAAACGGATCCCAATCCTTCTAGAGCAGTTGAAAGTTCGGGTCACTGATAGCAAGTTCGAGCCTCATTCCGGTGACCGTCACCTTGTATTCAGGATCGAGCTGGAATACGGCAGCGGGATGACGCGGATGAAATGGATCATCAACCGTACCCTCCGAGATTTTGCGAATCTGCATCTGAAATATAAGCTTCACTTCGGAACGCAAAAGTACATTCAGCTGCGAAATACCGAGGGCGGCCAGAACCTTCCCCGTTTCCCTCGAAGCGCCTTTCCATATCTTCGAGGAGTCCGGGGTCTCGAAAGTGAGATAGAAGATGAAGAAGACGAAGGCGGCTATGAGACTGCCGCCGAAGCGACCAGCGGCAATGAGAGGTCTGGTAGGAGAAAGCAGCAACAAGGGCAACGCCGACTGTCAGGAGGTATATCCCGGAGACAGTCAAGCATTACCAATACCGAGGGCGAGGCTGCTGGGCCTTCAGGTACAGCGGAACCTGGCCAGTCGACGAAGAGGGAACCATATCCCGAGAGACAGCGGAAGAAACTTGAAGCATACCTACAGAAAATGATTCGGTTCTTGATTTTCAAGGCCGATAGCAACCGTTTGTGTAAATTCCTGGAACTGTCCGCCTTGGGTGTCCGCCTTGCATCCGAAGGCAGCTATCATGGTAAAGAGGGATACCTGATTATTCAGTCTTCCAAAGGCCTCGATTTTCGAAGGGCGCTGACTCCAGCCATGGTGAAGAACCGGCATTCACCAAAATGGTTTCTTGTCCGACACAGCTACCTTGTTTGCGTTGACTCGCCCGAGGAGATGAATATCTACGATGTGTTCTTGGTCGATCCGTTTTTCAAATTACAAACTCAAAAGATCAGTTTACGGAATCAGAAAGCGAAGGAGCTTGCCAAGTCCGCTAAAGAGTCAGCCAGACACCCGCAACATCACACGCTGAGGCTGGAAAACTCGGAGCGGAAGCTCAGACTGCTGGCCAGGAATGAGCGTCAGCTCCATCAATTCGAGGACTCTATAAGGTTCATGGTCAATAGTACCCCGTGGGCGAAGCCGAACAGGTTTCACAGCTTTGCCCCGGTGCGCCAGAACTGTTTTGCACAGTGGCTAGTTGATGCGCGCGACCACATGTGGATGGTGTCGCGAGCGATCAATCAGGCCAAAGACGTCATCTATATCCATGACTGGTGGCTCAGTCCTGAACTCTACCTGCGACGGCCAGCAGCCATCAGTCAGAAATGGCGGCTGGATCGACTTCTTCAACGCAAGGCCCGTGAAGGTGTCAAGATATTTGTGATCATGTATCGGAATATCAACTCCGCTATCCCTATTGACTCGGAATACTCCAAATTCTCACTTCTCGACCTTCATCCCAACATCTTCGTACAGCGCTCTCCGAATCAGTTTAGACAGAACACATTTTTCTGGGCGCACCATGAGAAATTATGCCTGATCGACCACACCGTGGCTTTCGTTGGCGGAATTGACCTTTGTTTCGGAAGATGGGACACTCCACAACATCTCCTCACTGATGACAAGCCTACTGGCTTTGAGACGCCCGATGGACCCAAGGACGCAGACCACTGCCAACTCTGGCCCGGTAAGGATTACTCGAACCCGCGGATTCAGGACTTTTACGATCTGGACAAGCCGTACGAGGAGATGTATGACCGTAATGTCATACCCAGGATGCCGTGGCATGACATTTCGATGCACGTCGTCGGTCAGCCCGCCCGGGATCTCACACGGCATTTTGTGCAGCGCTGGAACTACATCTTGCGGCAGCGGAAACCTACCAGACCTACACCTTTTCTTCTGCCTCCGCCTGACTTTGACCCTGCCGACTTGGAAGCTCTCGGTCTTGATGGCACTTGCGAGGTGCAAATCTTGCGCTCAAGCAGTATGTGGTCGACGGGTACGCCGGACGTTACCGAGCACAGCATCATGAATGCGTACGTCAAACTGATAGAGGAATCGGACCATTTTGTCTACATCGAGAATCAATTCTTCATCAGCACCTGCGAGATAGAGGGCAGAAAGATTGAGAATTTGATCGGAGATGCGTTGGTGGAGCGCATCATTCGAGCCCACAAGAATCAGGAGGCGTGGCGTGCCGTTATAGTTATCCCACTGATGCCAGGTTTTCAGAATACTGTGGACAGTGAGGGAGGAACCAGCGTTCGTCTCATCATGCAGTGTCAGTATCGCAGCATTTGCCGCGGGGAGACTTCAATTTTTGGCAGACTGCGTGCGCTGGGCATCGATCCGGAAGATTACATTCAATTCTTCAGTCTTCGGGCCTGGGGCAAGATTGGACCGCAAAAGCAACTCGTCACGGAGCAGCTCTACATCCATGCCAAGTGCATGGTTGTCGATGATCGGGCCGCCATCATTGGATCTGCCAATATCAATGAGCGATCGATGTTGGGCTCGCGAGACTCCGAGGTAGCAGCTGTTGTGCGTGATACGGATATGATATGGTCCTCCATGAATGGCCGCCCGTATCTTGTCGGACGGTTCCCGCATACCCTGCGCATGCGGTTGATGAGAGAGCATCTTGGCATCGACGTTGACGAGCTAATGGAGCACTCGATAGCAACGGAAGAAGAACTGCGAAAGATCCAGATCGCGGAAGAAGGCACCAGATCACCGGACAACGTTGACAAGACCGACTCCGAATCCCTGATGATGGAGAGACAGGATGAGAGGGATATGATCGAGCGTCGGCATCGGATACAAGACGAGTTCCTCTCCAGATCAGAAGACTTGCACAGTTTCAACCACGATGTAGACTGGGAGCAAGAGAACAATCCCAACCTCAAGTCGAACAGAAAGCTCACTGCGGATCCGAGGGTGACCTCCAACGCGGAACATAAGAAGGACGTTGATGGGCATGGGGTAGATCATCTAGATATCGCTCTAGAAGCCGGGCTGGCCGACGGTCGAGATTCGCAAATTCTCGAAGACACCGCAGAGGTTTTGGTCTCGCCTATCGCTAGCGAGGGCAAAGGCACCATCCGACAACCCAAGCCGGCGTCGCAGCGGAAGACTCAACCAGGCAGCCCCATTGCTAGAGAAACAAGCCGCGAATCACCCTCGACTACGGGTCATGATGCCGATCCAGTTCCAGTGATTGATGGATTAGCAGCTGCCCGTAATCCGGCTCTGCCAGGGACCAATACTGAGAACGCCAATGGCGTCCTGTCGCCGTCATCAGATATAACCGATGCGGCGAAGTATCCACACCCACTGATCCCAGATCTCAAGCACATCTTCATTGACAAGGACTGCATGAGAGACCCTGTGATCGACATCTTCTACCTGGACACTTGGCAAGCCGTGGCGGAGAAAAACACAAAAATCTATCGGGCAGTCTTTCGTTGTATGCCTGACAGCGAGGTCAAGTCATGGAAAGAATACAAGGAGTACGCCACATACGGAGAGCGCTTTTCAGAAATGCAGAGTCAGCACAGTGTCAAGATTTCGCAGCCAAGCCACCAAAAGCCAACGGGACCTCCCGGGACAAATACAAGCGCGGCTGGCGCAGGTATACGGTCACTTGTTGCTCACTCGGGATCGAGCGGCGACGGCCACGCGACAGAACACAAGGGTCAACAGAGGTCGGATGAGAAGAGAGAGGCTCGCGAAGGTGGGCGCGATGCAACTGATCGAATGCAGTCCGACCTTGTGAAGCAAGAAACGTTATCGTCAATTGACGAGAAGACTGTCTTGGAGGTAGCCGAAGCTACAGGGGCGGGACCTACACAGAGTGGGCGCAGCCAAGAGAGTGGCCCTAGCAAGGAAGCCGTCGAGCAGCAGGAGCCGCAAGCTGTTGATTATTCTGAGGCTCTGAATCGCAACGCGACAAACCAGACCCGCCGCCGTCGGAGACGGGCAACAACACTTTCGAGGCGTGAATTCCACGCGAGCGATGACGTTATGGACAAACAACAAGCAGAAGAGTTATTGAATAAGGTCCAGGGACATCTCATAATGTGGCCTTATGACTGGTTCGTGGCATTCTGGCCAATCCTCGTCGTTTTGTAGCCGTATACTAATGGACTGTCATAGGCTTGAGAAAGAAGAGCAGGGCGGAAACTGGCTATACACGCTTGACCAGATTTCCCCCTTGGAAATTTAGTAAGTCACTCATCAGCATCCTGTCAGAAACCGAAATAGCCGCTGACGGAGGTACAGCAATTGATCCATCGTATATCCTCGTATGCTTCGGCAGTGCTTTCCCTGCAGTGCACACATGTTCGACTTGTTGGCATTGCTTGACCTGGAGTTCTCATACACCGGCGTGATCTTGATTGTTGAATTTATGTCATAGACTAATTTTGCCCTGGCCTGGCTTGCCTCTTCTTTGTCTATCATAGTTATTTTCGCATTCCCGTTCGAATAGAGCGGTTTGGATACATTGTATGGCTCTTCAGAGCTGCTTGACTGGAAAGCGGGCGTTCTCCTACAAGCAATTTCATCTGTTTTACTCGTGCATTTTCTGACATTTGATCATTGCGATCCTCTATTGAGTCAACTGCATCTACAGAGTGGCCAGTGCCAGGGATTCGCCCAGGTGACAAACATGTTGCCGGACTCGGTATTATCTCATCTATATAATGTATCAATATGGAAGTAAGAGACGAGACGAGAGTATTTCCAAGGTCCCAAGGCCTACACAATTCATTGCTAGGTCGCATTGAGCTTAAGCGATTTGGCGCGTAGGTTTTCAAAATCATGAAAGTTTGCTTGCAGGGCCCGAGTCAGGATACTAACGTTCGCGGCCTGTTCACTATCATCCCAGTGCTTGAGACTTGCGCCGAGACGGTCATGAGCAAGCGAGAACGCGTCCTGGAGTTCCGCCGTACGCACGCAGCTGCGGCCCAGATCGTTCATGTAATTGGTGGGGTCCTGCACGCACAGCCGGCTGGCGGCAGGCAGATTGCGTCTGGCGGCCGCCGTTCTCTTCAGACTGATGAGGGAGCGCTGGCCGCGCAGATGCGCGGGTAGATCGTCGGGCGTGTACAGGGCGCTGGCGCGTTTGACCGTACTGGCATTGAACCAACTGGGGGGATCGACGGAAACACCGGTGGTGGCCAGGTCAACATCGCTGCCGTAGGCGCGCAGAAACGCGATCAGCTGCTCGCCGAGGCAGTCGGGCCGCTGGAAACGCCCGTGGTTCATTTTGAGGAAGGCCACGAGAAGCATTACGAGGGCATCGGACTCAATGGACAACTGGGGGCGGCCATACCTGCCCCGCGCCTCGAGGATCAGGCGAGCGGTCACGTAGAGGGGTCGGGTCGAGGGATACTCGGCCTGGTAATCCATGATGTATTCGACAGAGGCCGGTAGCCCTTCGCCGCAGTGGAACTGCAGCAGACGGCCCGTGGGGCGATGGATGGCTGAGAGGACCGGGAAACGGTTGCCTATGACACGGACTTGCCCGCAAACGAGGGGGACTGCTGAAGCGCATGTCCAACTTCATGTAAGAGCTTTTTGTAGGTCTGGAGCACCTTGGGCCGTGTGGCACTCGGCTTGCGAACGTCACGGGCGGATCGGTCTGAATCCGGGACGGGTAACACGAAATCGAGACCCGAGTGGCTCAGAGCGAATCGCGTCCGCCATGAACCGGTCACCTGGGGCGGGCTGGGGACAATTCCCGCCAGCAACCTACCCATATCTGCAACCAGCCGATCTATCTCACTCTGCTCCGACGAGGTCGGTGTCATGTAGAGCTCAAGCGCGCGGATCTCCGCGTCGAGACGCGAAACGGCATCGGGTGTCTTGCAATCGGTAGTCAAGTACTTCAGCCAAGGACTTTGTTCCGGTCGGCCCTTGGTTTCATCTGCATGCCATTGCAGTTGTGGGTATTTTGCTGTCTGGGGCTGCGGGGCGGCTACTTGGCTCGACGAACGGGCCTTCCTCTGCGCTCGTCTCGCAGGCGCAAGAGACTGGAGGGACCGTGCCTCTGCACTTGACACGGAGGAAACCTTTCGAGGTGGCTGATCATGACCAGCATGATTCTCGAGTGGTAAAATCGGAGGGGGTGTTTCAGCTGGATAATCGTCGTTAATCACCTTGCGGACCAAACTGGCTCGATTGGAGGACCGATGAGCCTCAAGAGTCTTTTCAAGGCTATTTCGAAAGATAACAGGATCAATTGATTTGACGCCGGTAGCATGCAACTGTCGACGGAAAGGTGCTGTTGAGAAAAGATTTGGAGGAGAGGAGAGACGAAGAGCAGAGGCCAAGCGCATTGCTGCGCGATCAGTGGGAGATACAAGACATCGCGGGGCAGCAAACACGACGTTGAGCATGTACCCAGAAGCAGTCTGTAATTTCGGATGGTAAAGGTATAAGATGTAGACGCCCTGTGGTAATTCGAGACGACGAGATAGGATGGAATGGTTCCTGCGTGCCCTGGTCGCAATAATTTCTTTCAGGTCTCTCGGAGGAACGATAAGATCACCTGACTTGAACCGATAAGATCATGTGACATGGGTCATGTGAGGAGCAGCCCCTAGTCCCTATGATATAATATTTTCTTATTTCCCCTGGACCAATCATGCTTGGACCTCATAGCCCTTCTTTCACTGTGCCTAGAGCGGTATCTACTCCTCGGGAGGATTTCTCTTAAGGGTCTATCTACTTTGTCCTTGGAGTACTCCACGTGGAATGATCGAATCGAACGAAGAGAAGAATGAAGATCATGATCGCCATGACAGGCAGCTTAAAATTTACTACAAGTACAGAGTTCGGAAGATAATTGATCGGGACGATCATTGCATACAACGGCCTGCAGTGAATCATCATGAAATCAATGCATGCCTACCTTACCTAGCACTTACCAGCAAGTACCTAGGCAGGTACTATTCCGCACTCCGTAGACTAGATAGACATGGCTGGAACATGACGTACCGGATGGGACAATAGCGGGGAGAAATTCCAGCCATGTGCCTGTTCTTCTGGTCCTCATCGTCATATTATTATTCATCTTCAATATCCATCACAGTTGCAGTCTTGCATTGCAAATACTGAAGTCAAGAAACATGTTACTTTATGTTATTATTAGTAGTAGTTATTCAGTATCATCTTCTCTCTTATTCTTACCACTATGAGTCTCACTCATTCTGATCGGCCTGGACTAGATCCATGGACTGATTCTCTCCTGCTCTCCCCTTTTCTGTCTGCTTCTCCCTTTTTCTCCTTTTGGAGTCTTTTCTTCTCCCGAGTCCTTGTATCTATAACCCCTTTCTTAAGGAGATGATAGTGAGCAATGATACTAATAATATCCTATTCCTGATTCTTCCTGCTGATTATCCATATTTATTCCTATTCCCTCAGGACCGAACTAGTCTTGACCGATTGATTATATTACAAGTTCACCGCCCATCCTGGTGCCCCTCGTTCATACCCAAAAGTTAACCTAGTCTATAGACACGGAGTAGTCGTGGTGGTTTAGTAGTAGTTTGTCGCCATAAAACTAGTCGGGAGGTCTAGATACTTGGTATGGAGCAACCAAACCCTTCTTCTAGATAGTTCATGGCCTCCAATTTACTCATAGCTTAAATAATAAATAACAATATAATAACATATTCTTTCTACATAATCCGTTTCTCCTGTTGCTCATCTTTTCTCCTCCACTTGATCAAAACCGGGTTTTGTCAACCAAATCTTCATCATCGTCAAGTCTACCAGAAACACCCCCTCCACCACTCTTCCTCGTTTTCCCTCGATTTCTTCTTATTGATTCTTCCACTTCCATTAATTCAACTACTCTTACCTACTCTTCCTATCGCTCATGGCTTTCCTTTTCAGCTCATAGTCTCGATCAGAGTCATATTTACCTTGTCATCCGTCTTCGTTTCCTCACCGGCTTCACTTTCCGCCCACCCCCCACCATACTACTACGGAGGAATCGTTATCTATTATCCTCTTCCTTCTACGTCCCCATTTCTCTACCTTCCGAGGTTCGTACTCCAGTTGTCGTCTTGCTTTTCCAATAATCACATTCACTCGATCTGACTCTCCTCGGAAATAGTTCTGCAATCATTGATTTCCCGCGAGCCTTGAGCAATTGGAATCTGCCCCTTCCGCCATCTTCGGCCGTTTTCGTCATGGCCGCCAACCAGGACTCCCCGCCAAAGTGCCTGACGGCCAGCCAAACCCCGTCATGGTCGGTCCCGGCATGAAGTCTTTAGGCGAAGAGGCTTATACCAATGCCTCAAATGCCACTCCTAGTCTGGAGACCGACAAGAACCATCCCCTGGTCAATGACACCCCATCGTACTTCTCTCAGGTTCCTGGCACCAAACAGTCGTCGACCGTCGCCGATACCGCTTCTCCCGGCTCACCAGCTGATGCGGCCAAGAACGCAAAGTCGCCTATTGAGCTCCTCCGCCGTCTGAGCCTCGGCCGCTCCCCAATGATTCCGGACTTTGACCCGCGCGAACAATATCCCGGTTTGAACCTCACGGGGCGGATTATCAGCGCCGCTTTCTGCATCCCGTACAAGGTCGGCTACCGTCCTGGCTCTGACTGGGTATGGTGCCCCCCAATGATCTTTCCACTCCTCTTTTCCCCAACTCGGACGCAATTGGACTAACACTCAGATGAACCATTTGAACAGGATCTCAAACCGCGTCCCGGAACTTCTGCCCTTTTTGATTCCTTTGCTTATCTCGGCTCCGGAGAGACGAAATGGTCCCATACGCTCGTTGGCTGGACCGGCGAGGTGGAACCAATTCAAGACGTCTCCGTTCCTCTCCAACACATCCCAGTCAACTCTGGCGCAAGGCTACCGCCCGCGCTCAATGGCGTTGCCGTTCCACTGAACAAAGCAGCGGCCCCCGTGCCCGTAGACTCTAAGCAGCGACCACCCAGCCACCCGCTCCTCGAAGGCTTCAGAGTCAGTCAAGACGACCGAGTGCGTCTTGACGCTCAGCTGAGGTCGGGCCGTTACGGCAAGATCGCTCCGGTATGGTTGTCGGACGAGTCCGAAGAGCCCGAGGAGTCTTCGATCTTCCTGGAAGATCAAGGCAGATGGAGGCGATATGCGGAGAAGGAGCTGTACCCCCTGCTTCATTACAAGCAACACGGCCCCACGGATGGCCGGTCAGAACGGAAGTGGTGGGGAGATTACGTCCGCATGAACAGACTCTTTGCGGACCGTATCATACAGGAGTATCAGGAAGGCGACATCGTCTGGATCCACGATTATCATCTCTTCCTACTGCCTAGTCTGCTGCGGCAACGGATACCGAACATCTACATCGGATTCTTCCTGCACGCCCCGTTTCCCAGCAGCGAGTTCATGCGTTGCCTTGCCAAGCGCAAAGAAGTCCTGACTGGTGTCCTGGGTGCCAACATGATCGGCTTCCAGACATTCTCCTACTCGCGTCACTTCTCGTCCTGTTGTACGCGCGTCCTGGGCTTCGATTCGAATAACGCCGGCGTTGATGCGTACGGCGCCCATGTTGCGGTGGACGTCTTCCCAATCGGAATTGATGTCAAGACCATTCAGAAGGCGGCCTATGGTTACCCCGAGATCGAAGAGGCCGTGGTGGGACTTCGTAAACTGTACGCCGGCAAGAAGATCATTGTCGGCCGTGATCGACTGGACAGCGTTCGCGGTGTGGCCCAGAAGCTGCAGGCATTTGAACAGTTCCTGGAGAGGTATCCGGAGTGGCGTGAGAAGGTCGTCCTCATCCAAGTGACCAGCCCAACCAGCGTGGAGGAGGAGAAGGAGGACCCCGAGAACAAGATCGCCAGCCAGATCTCAAACCTGGTGTCTACCATCAACGGCCGCTTCGGCTCGATCAGCTTCTCGCCCGTCAAGTACTACCCCCAGTATCTCTCCCAGTACGAGTACTTCGCGCTCCTGCGTGTCGCCGATGTGGGTCTGATCACGACCGTCCGGGACGGCATGAACACGACGAGTCTGGAATACATCCTCTGCCAGCACAACACTCATGGTCCTCTCATTCTCTCCGAGTTCTCTGGTACGGCGGGCACGCTGTCCAGCGCCATCCACATCAACCCATGGGATACGACCGGCGTCGCTGAAGCCATCAACCGAGCCTTGACTATGTCTCCGGAGGAGAAGAAAGCGCAGCACGTCAAACTCTACAAGCACGTCACCACGAATACCATTTCGACCTGGTCAAACCAGTTCGTCACCCGCTTGCTGACCAATCTTTCCTCTTTTGACCAATCCGTGGCAACGCCGGCGCTGGACCGGGCGACGCTGTTGAAGCAGTACCGCAAAGCGCGCAAGAGGTTGTTCATGTTCGATTACGACGGTACTCTCACCCCCATTGTCAAAGACCCGCAGGCCGCCATCCCATCCGATCGGGTGTTGCGGACTCTGAAGACTCTGGCCGCGGACCCTCGCAATGCGGTCTGGATCATCAGTGGTCGGGACCAGGCGTTCCTGGATGAATGGATGGGCCACATCCCGGAATTGGGCCTGAGCGCCGAACATGGCTGCTTCATCCGGCAGCCGCGGTCGGATGACTGGGAAAACCTTGCCGAGTCGAGTGATATGGGATGGCAGAAAGAAGTGATGGAGGTGTTCCAGCACTTCACCGAGCGTACGCAAGGCTCCTTCATCGAGCGTAAACGGGTTGCCCTGACCTGGCACTACCGCCGAGCGGATCCCGAGTACGGTGCATTCCAGGCTCGGGAGTGCCGCAAGATGCTGGAGGAGACGGTAGCCAAGCGGTGGGAAGTCGAGGTGATGGCCGGTAAGGCTAATCTAGAGGTGCGGCCGACATTTGTCAACAAGGGCTTCATTGCGGCGCGGTTAGTCCAGGAATACGGAACAGAACCCGGGCAAGCTCCAGAATTCGTCCTCTGCTTGGGAGACGATTTCACCGATGAGGGTAAGTATTTATTATCGATACCGGTCGGGTGCTCGCTTCGTGGCTTGTGTTAACTGTTGTTGTAGACATGTTCCGTGCGCTCAAGAAGTCCGGCCTCCCCGCTGGGCATGTGTTCTCGGTCACCGTTGGGGCCAGTTCGAAGCAGACGGAAGCCAGCTGGCATCTCCTTGAGCCAGCTGACGTGATTGGAACGATTTCCATGCTGAACAATAGTTCTTCTGCGCAAGAATACTAGGGACGATGTGAGGCAGGGCTGGTCGTGCCATGCTTGGCCGTTTGGCTGCAAAAATCACGTTCTAACGAAATATGATTACTTTGCACTAGCGATATATAAATCTCGCCTTCTTGATCTCCGGGGAGAACGTAGAACAAGTCGAGGGTCAAGGAGTTATCGGCCGTCCGAACATGCAACAGAAGGTGTTCGAGGGAGTGTATGGAGGAGGATCCTGACATCTGCCTGCATCTTCCGCACTTTTGAGGCCGCTTCATCTTCTTTCCTCGTCTTCTTCTCTCCAGATTCATTTCCATTATTTGTTCCGCCTTGCTCTTCCTCCGACTGGTTGTGACTTTCCGCATTGGTTTCCATTGACTTGACTATAGATAGAGGGCGGAGAGACAGGTACGCCTTTGAATATAGGCTGTTAGAGGATAGAGATATGATGAAATCGAACTTTCTCCCTTGAATACCAGACCCAGAACCTTCTGTCTCTGTGGATAAGATGTCAATGAGTGCCAATTAGATCGGGAGTAATATATAAACCTAAGTCAGATAACCCAAGTCGGATCGGATGCACAGTTCCGCAGCACAGGAGATGGTAAGTAGATCTGTTCTACACGATGGTCGATGATGAGGAGACGGAAACAGTTTCACTATTTCATTAGGAAATATATGAAGCGAGTAAGGGATATCGAGTTCATAGCATACATGGAGTTCACCTCCCATGTCTATTTTTTTCGTGCCCGTTATATAAAAATGCGGACATTTCCGAACCATCGATATCCAGCCAACATCGACAGTATCCTACCCGGTTCACAAGGAATAAAAGAGCAAGTTGCAATCCATCGTCACTCGATCAAATCCAAGATGATCATTATCTTAGACTTCCCCCTCCATGATACACGAAAGATCGTCGGGGACAGCCCCTCATCTCCCGGATGCGGTTGCCGACACTATACGATGACTCGTCTTCGGTCTTCTGTGCGAACCACTGAAAGATCTGAAAGAAAAATCCAGCCATGAAGGGTTGTCAACTAAATCCTAGCTCCAGAACTCGGAAAGACCGTCACTGTGCTTACAATCAATCTGAGAACAGACAGAAAAGAAAAGTAGTCTCCAGCTGTGTTGTTTCTGCAGTTGCTTTCTCCAGTCGGATTCGGCTTCCGTTGTAGGAGAGGTGTTTTGACTTTTGAGTCATTGTGATATGGTAGGTATACTTGTCTCTAAGCATGACTCTTATCTCTTTCATTCGAATACCTGCTGACAATACATACGTAGGTGATGGCACAAGATCACACTCCTGGCGCTGTCCCGGTCAACGAAAAGGACCCTCCGAATGAACAACTCGATGATACCACAAGTGATCGCTTTGTTCCTCTGGCAGGCTTTCTCCAAGATGAGGAGTCAGGTGTGAACAATGGGGTTGATCCTCGGTCGAAGTCGCTCTCGAGAACTGTCACCAATACCAGTCATATCGGAACATTAGCTGCCCGGACCTTGTCGCTTGTGCGGACCAGAGAATCTGGAAAGGATATCGGCCCTCCTCCAGATGGAGGTCTCTTTGCTTGGACCCAGGTTCTCCTGGCTCACTTCGTCATCTTCAACACTTGGGGGTACATCAATGGATTCGGTGTTTTCCAGACATACTATACGGAGCACTTGGGCCGGCCTCCGTCCGACATCTCCTGGGTCGGCAGCATCCAGATTTTCCTGCTCTTCTTCATTGGGACACTGTCGGGTCGTGCGACAGATGCCGGCTTCTTCAAAGTCACTTTGGCCACGGGAGCGCTGCTGGAAGTCTTTTGCATCTTCATGACCTCGCTGTGCACCGAGTACTGGCAGCTGTTCCTCGCTCAGGGAGTCGGTCAGGGCATCGGTTGCGGCCTCATGTTCTGCCCGACCGTAGCCCTGATGGCCACCTATTTTACCACGAAACGGGCCCTTGCCATCGGGATCGTGGCCTGTGGATCGGCGACGGGAGGGTTGGTTTTCCCAGCGGTCGTCGTGCGCCTGCTGCCACAGGTCGGATACGCCTGGACGATGCGGGTTCTGGGCTTCATCACCCTGGCCACGCTCATCCCCCCTGTGGTTTTCCTAAAACAACGGTTGCCGCCCCGGAAGAGCGGCCCACTGGTGGAATGGGGCGCCTTCAAGGAGCTGCCGTACCTGTTTTTCGCCATAGGGATGTTCCTCAACTTCTGGGGGCTCTACGTCGGCTTCTTCTACATCGGCAGCTTTGGCCGCAACATCATTGGGGTTTCCGAGACCACCTCGGTGTATATCCTGCTGGTGATGAACGGCATCGGCATCCTGGGTCGGGTGATCCCCAATACCATGGCTGACTGGTACACCGGTCCGTTGAACATGCTAATTCCCTTCAGCCTGGTCACCGGGTTGGTATCCTTCTGCTGGGCCGGGGTGGACGAGATTCACGGGTTATACGCATGGAGCGCCTTCTATGGTCTGGCGGCCGCGGGCATCCAGTCGCTATTCCCAGCCACCCTGACCTCCCTGACCACCGACTTGAAGAAAGCCGGAGTGAGAATGGGCATGGTGCTCAGCGTGGTCGCGGTCGCAGCGCTAATCGGGTCTCCGATCGCAGGAGCCCTGGTCCAGAGGGCCGGTGGACATTATCTCTACGCTCAGATGTTCATGGGCAGTGCGATTCTAGCCGGTACACTGACTTTGATCGCTGCAAGGGTAGCGAAACTGGGATTCACATGGCATCGGATGTAGAACTCAGTCAGGGAGCTTGCTGTTGATGGATCTTGGGAGGAAGAATATAATGATGAAGCAGGCCCATATCACGCCGGGCGTGATCTTGTGAAATAATTATTATTTAATTGACCATCTTGATGGTGATTGTAGCTAAATAACATGGGAGTTATCCAATGTTGTGATGGGTCATTCTCCCTCATTGGCGGTGGACCTGTCTCTCCTCTGCTTCTTCCCCCGCCTGGGAAATCCTCTGCGTGACTCAAACATTCAACCTGCACGCCGCCATTGTTTTTGGTCTGTGGAGTCTATCTGCCAAGGGATTCTCTGCTACCACTCTAGCCTCTTCCTTCAGTCATTTAGGGAGTGGTATCTACCGTATTCCTTTCTCAAGAAGATGTGAGCGTCTCATCTCCAATTTGTGTCCCTCTCCCGCTCTGCCCCTCCATACAACCATCTCTTGTCTACAGCAGCTTCAAGACAGCGTGGTTTTTGCTAATCGGCAGTGTTAATTCATTCAGCTCTTTACAGTATTTGTACTCCTGAAGTTTTACGCAATTTTACGCTACTTCCTGCATCTTTACTTAACATGGCACCCCGCGGTCGCGGAAAGTTCTCCAAACCCAGCAGAGGAGGTAGGGACGCATCCAAACGTTACTTTCGAACCGGGAGAACAGACAAGGAGATATTGATTCGCGACACGCAGGGGGCAAACATTTCAGTCGCGATGTTCAACCGGTAGACAAGGACGGAAACCCCGTTGGTCTATGGCGGGTACGTTGCCTCTTAAATTCCCTCACAGGAACCGAACCCAGCGTTATCTACCGGAAATGAGACTCTGACCTTTCACCCCTTCGCTGCTTTGCCGTACAGGAACCAGGCGATGACATCCCCTCATCAGGCGAAGAAGGTGAATCAGAAGAAGCCTCCGGTTCCGAGGAGGAGTCCTCGGACGAGGACGACGCACAAGCCGGGCCCAGCACCGTCGCCGGAGCATCAGCAGGACCAGCAGCAGCAATGACTCGCGAGGAGCGACGCGCCGCAGCCAAGGCGAAGAAGCTAGCCGCGATCGCGCGACGGAACAACGTCGCCGCGCAACCGGGTGACCTGCCTCCCTCGGACTCGGAGGAAGATGAGAGCGACGACGGCGACGACGAGGACCTCCCCGCCAACCCGAACCACACCGCCAAGTCCCGTTCACAACTTGACAAGGATCCCGCGGCAGCTCCGGAGAAGGCCGCGGCCGCGGGTGGCGACCTGTCACAGCTCTCTCGGCGGGAACGCGAGGCCATCGAGGCGCAGCAGGCCCGGGAGCGGTACATGAAACTGCACGCCGAGGGCAAGACAGAGGAGGCGCGGGCGGACCTGGCCCGTCTGGCCCTCATCCGGGAGCAGCGCGAGGCCGAGCGGCTGCGCAAGCAGGCCGAGAAGGAAGAGAAAGAAGCGCTGCTGCGGGAGAAGGCGGCGGCGCGCGAGCGGGAGATGAAGCGCCGCGAGGAGACCAAGGGGAAGAAGAAGGGAGGCTCGAAGAAGACTTAATGAGCTGTGTCAATGGAACTGTGGAGGGGGTCTCCCACTTGCGACCCCACCGCTGGAATGACGCGATGAATCTGGCTATCTGGTTTGGACAATATCGGCAATATATCTCTCTGGTTGATTTTGAAGTACATACTCGCTCTAGACGTTTTGAACAGATATGATCGTTACAGGGATGACTGCATGCTTGGCATCTCCTCTGCATTTAAACACTTCCAAGGATATTGTAACACGGAGCCAAATATAGAGAACTTAGTGGGTGATCACCCCAAACGAACTCGCCATAAGCAGGTCAAAGATCTATTTACAACGCAAGACGCACCCCCAAGCCGAAACCATTACAACATGCCACGTTATGCAGATTTTGCACCCGAATCACGAAAAGACAAAACAAACCAATTGACACCCATGTACACCAACGCCCTATTTTCTGAGCTCGATGGGAGCAGAGGGAGGAAAAAGTGGGATATATATATGAACAGTGCATGTATCAGTCAACGCATGAACGCTATCTTAGCACGACGGTGTCAATTTCGAGCACGGTCAAGGACATCAGACACCCCAAAACAACCACTCCACGCTCCGTCCGTGCATGACGACCCCCAGCCCGCAATAAGACTCACGAGCCAGAGGATGGACAAGACCAGGATCGGGAGGAGGAGGAGCTCGGTGTTGTGTAGGAACGGGAGGGCATTGTACCCCAGAAAGGTAATGTAGGTGTAGTAGATCAGCGCGGAGAGATAGAGCGTATTTCCCAGGAAAGTAGCGAGGAAGTCGCTCGGACTGCGGGTGAGTAAGGGCAGAAGAAGGAATTGAATGACATAGAGGTGGAGATATAGAGGGAAGAAGGCCCGGTTCGACACCTGCACACCCCAAAGTCAGCCTCAGCCTTTTTTCAATAGACCAATCCAGGAGGTCGGAACGGAAAACTTACATCGAAACAGTATCCAAACTCCAGTTGATCCTTCTCCCCAGGCTGCACGAACAAGCCTTGTGCCGCGCCGCGCCTCCGTCCGCGAGACCCTCTGAATCCGGACAGGGATGCAGCCGCACCGTCAGGGCCAAACAGTCGTGGGATCGCAAAGTAGGCTATTGTTGATACCACCAGCGAGGAACCGATGAAGTGGACAAAAATAAAGAGCAGCGACAGGCGGACGATCGAGCCAAAGGCCGGCGCATAAGCCAGGCCCCATGCGAGCGCAGTGAGCAGGAGAAAGAAGGAGAGCAAATACGTAAAGGAGGGGTCCGGACGGTGCCAGGTGTTTTTGGTTTCTGTACCGATAAGTAAAAAGAGGGTTAGCTGCGTTGATCTTATGATCTCGCGGACGGTCTGGTCCGAAGGATTTCGAACAAGGGGAAGCGCGTTCAACGTACGTTTCTACCAATTAACCATGATATTTAGCAAGCAATTACAGGCTGAATACAACATGGACAGAGAAGCAACACTTACATGATAGTAAATTGATTTGAACACCTTCTTAGGAGCTAGCAATAGTGATGTCATCTCCCAGATTGCCATTTCAAAGTCCATCTGCGGGAACTTGAATAGCCTGCTCCGTAAAAGGTACGGTCAGCCGCGCTCACACTGAGAGGGACAAGTGACTATCCGGGATTATGCAGTCGGGGACATCCTTATGATAGCCGAGTCCACAGGCCTACCTCTTGAAGAAACGCGGCATCCGTATACTGGATCCGCGACTCGTTGGGGTTGTGCCGCCAAAGCTGGCAGGGCTGGCATGTTGACGAGGAACAGAGATGGTTGGGTTCATCTTGTAGAGACTTTGAAAACAGATTCCCCAATTTCCCAGAAATTCTGAGAAGGGGAACAACGTGTGTAGTCCACTGAGGAAAAGAGTGGATAGCTCGGTAGTGATCCCGCCGTACAACTACCTGTTGCTGATGTTGTGTTGGTGGAGATGAGTGTCGGCGTTACTCCCGTTGTCGGCCGTTATGTCATCTGTTGATGCCGTTACTAAGCATTATTTGGAGTACTATGGAGTACTCCATACACTCTCTACAGTAACATACAAAAGTCGACATCCGGGATTTTGACATTCCACGCTCTCTTAACGCTGTTTAAACGTTGGGTATGCTTAAGAAATTTCTTATAATTGATGACTTTTGGCACCGGGGCTCCGGATGACTCTTAAGGTTTCGACATAGCACTTCCAGATCGCCCATCAGCCTAGAATATAGCATGGGTCGAGATTAAGATGTGTGCTTGAGAGCAGAAATGGTTCCTGATAGCAACGCGGAGGAACTGAAAGACTTGAACCAACAACCTAGTGCTCTTCACAAGACTTAATTGTGATTGCTCTGGCCTTCATGCTAGATGTCCTCATAAAAGCAGCAGATCATTTTTGATTGCGGGAAAGAAAGGGTCGATGAGTGACAGGTCTCAACTGATTTCGGCAGGTCTCTAGATCTCAGTGGACTATCAAGGCATCGATTTTGTCGATGCGTCTACGTCTCCACGATACACATGGGTTTTCGGCATGGATCGAAGAAGAAGCTGATTCTGCGTACAGATTAGCGAAGGCCATTCATGATTCATGGAAGATTCAAGGTTTTGACACGTCACAAGCGGATGTATGCCTGCCTGACAGACACCAGCGATTTCAGCAATTCATTCGGCTGCATGGACGACTCGTAGAGACACAGTGAGAGTCAGTCCAGAGTCGGGCAGTCGAGATGGACCAGACGGGATCTATCGATTGGATTCTATGACCATGTGCCCTGTGGAGAGTATGTAGCCTTAAAATATCCCATTCTTCCTTATTTGTCGTGTCGTTCGTTAAACACCGTAAATTCCGTACAATTCTCTACTCCTCCGTATGAGCAGCTTGACTATGATGATACATTGGCAACTCTACTTGAAACTAATAACTTTACAGGGCAGTACTCCGAGTAGTAAAGCAGTTCCTCGCTTACAGCGATACTTTCTCTAAGACCGAGCCAGTCAAAGCGTCCGTTCTAGTGATCCATCTCCATTAGTACAGAGTAGCTAGATAATCCTTGGGGTACTCTTGTCTCTCCCGTGAGTCCCGTCCCCACCAGCCCACATGGATGAATAGTTCAACGATGGGCCGATGGACCAGCCTAGGTAAGACAGTGACCTTGTATACCTCTCTAATAAAGAGGTAGTTACAGGAGAATGATAATTAGAGAATGATATTTAGATCTATTGCTACCTATGTATGCACTACGCGAGTCATTCTAGACGTATTCGTCATGTATTTATTTGAAAACAAGTAGAGGAATCATGACATGCAGATTCTCAGACACTCGACGCCAGACCATATCTAGACTGCCAGAGTGTTAATCCTCTTAACTTTCGTTATTCCTCAGACTAGTGATTCTTAGTGGCAAGCCTCTGGCAGCCAACAACACAACTCATAGCCTTATCCCATTCTAGTTTGTAGTGAGCAAGTGGATAATCTCATGTTCTGCCCCTGAAAAGTTATGGACTTGGTCGACATGCGACATTGAGAGGTCCATGTCTTTCTTGTCTGACGGTCGCATTGACAATTACTAGCGAATATTGAACAACTCAATCCTCATCGCCTCATAATCCGAAAACACATTTAATATCCATCGCTTTCCGTGTTTCATCCTTTCCTTGGTGGTTCCGGTTCCTGGTCCCTTGCCTGAGGCTTCCACGGTCCGCTCTCCAGTCTCCATCCGTTCCCCTCCCCGATCATCATCTTATTTAGACTAGCACACTTTCATAATCTTTATGGGGTTTGTTCTTTTTCTTCTCTGACTGCCCTATTACCGCCAGGCTCCTCACAACGTCGCCGACTGCTTGCAATCTGTCGTCCCAAGGACTTCCTCTCGTTCAATTGACCTTCGCTTTGTCCGATTCCCCCTACCGCGCGGAATCAAGGCCATCTTTGCTTCCGCTTCCGCAATGACCGCCCGGTGACGCTCACACGCACACCTACTTTTGTCTCCTTCCGAAGAAGACTGGTTTGAATTTGAAGAGGAACATATGTATATGGCCAACTCGCCGACAGCCAGCCATTGTGATTGAGAAGCCCCGATCAGAGCTCGTCCACGTTGCGTCCTCGTACTGGACGACGTAGCGGGTGGCAGCTTTTTCTACACAGTGTGCCCAGGCGTTGCCGGGTCGCTGGTTCATTTAGATCTCATCCCGCTACATACGAGTCCTGACCAAGTGCTTAACCATGAATCGTCCAACCCGGTCGAGCAGCCTCAGAAAGGATGCACACACGAATCGCTCGCCCCCTCGAACACCGCCTTCTCAAGCGTCCAACTGCAAGCCTTTCAAGCGAGGCCTCCATCCCCGTCCCTCGTTGCGCGAAACCTTCCTAGACGATACGAATCCAGCCGACAATGCGAACAACAGCTATAACGATTCAAGTGAAGAGCGAGATCCCCATGATCTTTCCCTGTCTCCAAAACATGCCGCGCGCACGTCCATTGTCGACAATATGTTGCTTTCTCTAGATCAGTTCACAGGCAATTCGATTCTCGATGATTACCGACTCTTCAACTCCGTCTTTGAATCCGAATTGTACGATCGGAGCTCGCAGGAGTCCGCGGGACCAAAGCGGTATCGCGGCCATACATTCTCCTCCTCCCTTTCATCAGAAGCAGACTTTGGCTACGACGACGGCTCGACTCGCTATGGAGCCCAGCCGGCCTCTGCCGCCAGAGGCCGCCGGAGCAATAGTAGCTCCCAGTATCACTCCAGCCTGGGACGATTCGGGAGTACCCGCAGCCGAGAAGGGACCAATTCACGAGGTCAACTCTATGACTATCGAACTGTCACTGGGGCCGATCAAACGACTCGCGGGACGAGGAAAAGCAGCAAAGCAAGCTCATCTTCCAATCTCGATTTCGGTCCAGCTCTCATCAGAGGGAGAGCGGACTCGTCGGGTGAGCGACGTTCGGCCAGCTTCGATTACGGTACGAGGCCGCCTTTCATTTCCACCGATTTTGATCCCACGTTCTACGACAGTACAGACGCCGCTCCAACACCGAGCGTGCCGGCTGGGCCCCGGAAGTTACACTCCTCAGCTCAAAATGATTATGCCGGTGTCTTGAACAGTCAGTCTTCGCGGACACCGGTAGCCTCCCGGCGGAATAGCATCAAATCGTCCCGAACCAACCATGCCAAGAAAACTCGGCCAGAGAACATCGGTACCAGCTCCATCATGCGAGGTGCAGACAGCGAGCTTGCCAATCTGGCCGATGACGGGCTGGATCCGCCACCAGCAATATCAGCATCGCTCGACCCGCCCGCTCCAAGTCCGACGATTTCGTTCAATAAACCTGCTATACTGGCCTCGCCAGACATAACACCTGCCAAGGAGCGCCAGGGATTTTTCCGGCGCGTGTTCGGATCATCGAGAAATACCGCTTCAGGACCGTCGGAAAGCATCCAATCTGACAGCACATTGCCCCAAGAGAATGACGCCAAGGAGATAAATGCGGCTGGCGGAAGTCTTAGGAGCCGCAGACAGCCGTTAAGAAACAATGTGTCTGGCGCAAATGCACTCCGCGAAGGTCAACCACATGTGGTGAACAAGAAGTCTTCTTTTTTCCGTCGGCGAAAGAAGTCGATATCTATGACCGACAGCCTACCACCTCCCATCATTCTTCCTCAGGAACTAGGCCCCAAGGCTGTGGAGATTTTGAAACCGGAACCCAGCCCTGTCAGTAGTCTCAGAAAGGTAATGAATCCGTACCTTGCTGATGGCATTGGCGCCGCATGTGATAAGTCCAATAGTGGCCCGATTCGGGCTGCAGGTGCAGATCCTGCAGAAAATATGAATACAGGCCTTACCTCAGCAAGGAACGAGAAAGAAAGTGTTTCTACAGCTCCCGCCAAGGGCGCTCAGACATCAAAATATAGCCTGTATCCGCCTCCAACCGCAGGCAGTGGCCACGATACTTCATTCCTGATGAACAGCAGCGGAGATGAAGAGTCCACAACCAGGACCACTGAAATGGATTCAACCTCCTCTGTTGATCGAAAGCAGGAGAAAAGGGCGGTTGAGGATGGCCTCAATTCTTCCGAGGGCGACAAGGTCGGTCAGATGACTGACGGCACCTCCCATATCATGATCCCAGCGACGACGAAATCCGCTCCGGCTCTGTCCCCGGTAGTCGAGAGTATATCTCCGGCAGGTGTGTCGCCTCCGGAAGATTCAGAGTACCTAACCACGGAAACCGCCACCGTCAACTCGGGTGTGAGAACTGCAGGACATCGCCAGAGATCCAACTCCCGCGGAGACCAGCGGCCGCAGCCCAGCAAGCTATCCATCCCCGTTGCGAAGGGGGATGCTTCGTCTCAAGTCTCGCCTGCAGACTCGGAAGAATTCTTTACAGCCGCCAACACCCCTGCGGTGCCGTCGGAGGATCCTAAAACTCCACAGATCATCGAGGACATTGCTGAATGCTCTGATGACGACTTGTCAGGCGGCCCCTCGAGCTCTGATCGAGATCAAGCAAGGCGACTGTTCGATAGTCAAGACCAAGTGGTAGGCAATGAGCCGGCTGCTGCCTGGCTTGGCGATCCTGGTCGTGCTTCTATCAGAGCGGCATACATGGACCTCTTTGACTGGTCAAACATGAACATTCTTGCAGCACTACGAAGCCTTTGTACTCGCCTAGTGCTCAAGGGCGAGACGCAACAGGTAGATCGAGTGCTGGATGCTTTCTCGACTAGGTGGTGCCAGTGTAACCCACGACATGGCTTCAAAGCTGCCGGTGCGTTCACTTTCCCTTCACCTCCCATCACAGAATATATCACAGATCTAACCTAGTCTAGACGTTGTCCACACTATCTGCTATTCTTTACTGCTCTTGAACACAGATCTTCACCTGGCCGACATTGAGCAGAAGATGACGAAGAACCAGTTCGTTCGGAACACAATGCCGA